CGGGAACTTGTGGCAGTGCCTTCCCCAGAGCAGCATCAGGATGCGATTCCCTCCCTGTGCCCCGTAATGGGGGAGAGACCTGGGAGTACTTTAACATCCTTACGTTCCTGGCTTGTCTGTCATTTTCCTCGGTGCACAGATTTCCTGTTTTGAAAACTAGGCTGAGAGCTTTGTGGGGGTTTTAAAGCCCGTAGTAGAAATAGGGTTCTCTAATAATCGCATTTCGTGTCCCATCCGATTCTGAGGCTTGTTACTGTTTTGGGAGAGCAGTTGTAAATGTCCCCGGATGGATTCGCTTTGCCCCCTGTAACTTAGATCTGCAGCGTTTGGAGGAAATGGCAGGGACAAAATGGACAGTTAATAAAAGGAACAATTGTATACTGCCTATTCTAGAGGGCACTTGCTGCCCTTCAAGAACTTTCCTCATCGCTTATGCTGTTTATACAGCAAATCTTTATCTTCTGTTTCCTTTTTTTTTTTTTTTTCCTTTTTTCTACCTTAGTCCAGAAAATGAAACTGGAACAGACATTTCTGGAAATGAACTTGATTGGTGCAGTTGGGAAGATGTGATTCATAGTTATAGTGAACATTGAAATTTGCCCCATTTTTTTGCAGATCAGTATTTGAATTGTATACTTGCTGATTTTTAACCTGTTTACACAACTGTGCTCAGTTGATTTTCTTTTTAACCCTTCAAATAATGGCATCCATTGTGCTGGATTGCCAAGAGGTACCCCAGGTACATCCAGCTGCTATGCTAAAAATAGCTGATGTTTTACTGTATAAAGTAAAAGGTTTAAAAGAACGTTATTTTCTTAATATATTCCTTTTCTGTGCTTGGAAGAACTGAAGCTGTTATCTGTGAAATCTGGAGTTCAGGGAGATCTAGTATTTCCAGGATTGACCAAAAATAAATTATTGGGTAAAGAATGTTGCGCTTTTTTTTTTTTTTTTTTCTCCTAGTCATGCAGCACGGATGAAAAGCTCTGAAGCTTTTAGTCATAACACTCTGGTCCCATGTTTTCCTTTTAATAAAGCATCCAGTGGGAGAATGTGACATAATTGGTTTCTTGGATTTAGAGATCTTGAAATGGCTGGTACAACAAATAGGAGAGGAAACTCTTCAGCGGGGTTATGGTTTAACTACAGTAATATGGTGGCAAAGTCATGTTATTATTGCATGGTAGTCTTGCATTTCTCTCGCAAGAAAATGCTTTCTACATGGTTATGCTGCAGAACAGGCACTTTTGAGTCTCGTCGGCAGCACGGAATATTAAATTTCTCACTTTTCCTTGCATTGCATAATCTGAGTGTTGTTCTTCTGTAGCAGCAGAAATGATGGAAGAATTGCATAGCCTGGACCCACGAAGGCAGGAACTACTGGAGGCCAGGTTCACTGGAGTTGGGGTTGCTAAGGTGAGTGTAAGCACCTTTGGAAACAGGCATGGCTGCTCGTTCGTCCCGCGCTGCACTTTGGGGTTTTAATGTCTACAGTGATAATTCTGCTTTGCTAGGAGTTTTGCATCAGTAGTTGTGTTTTGACCGCTAATTTGCTTGAAGCATGTTTAAGAGGAATGAAAATGGGATCTCTATGAGCAGATGTTTTGCTACACAGAAGATTTTGGCTTCTAATTAAGTTCTCAGGAGTTGCTCCATCTTCAGGCAGCTCCTACACCCCCCGAAAACCTGTGACAAGTTTGTCTTTGGAAATGGGAATCTCATCTGTCTCTTCCTTTCCCCAAGAATGCCTTCGAGAACTGAATTTGGCCACTTGTTAGATACAGTTTCAAGTATTCCCAGTGTTTGATGCAACATGTAACCAGACTTAATACATGCAGGAATTTGTTCAGTTCTTTGCGGGTGCAACGTACTAAAATTGTGTACTTGGTCACTTAGACCACATGCACAAGAGGTATTTGAAGGTAAGCTCTCCTGTGTCTGTGATCTGCAACCTGCTAGTAAAATCCCATCTTTGTCCTCACGTACAACTTCGTGACTGTTCAGTAGCTGCATTCCTTGAGTAAGAATAACATTGTGTCGTTGCTTGATACACTAGCATTAAGCTGTTAGATCTGCCGGTGGTGTGGGTGGTGTTAACTGACCCTTTCTCTGAGCAATGAAATGGTGGCTTAACTCATCTTGAACTAGGACAGTGATAAGGAGTTCGCTTTTTGAGGAAGGTACCGAGTTTTGGACAACATCCAGGGAGATGGTAAAACAACATACTGTTGCTAGATAGTTTTCAGAAACCTCTTAGAATTATTGTGAGAAGAAACTTGGTAAATGTAGTATTTCTTAGAAAATTCAAAGCAAATCAGAACTTGAAAAAAGGTTTCGTTTGAGTTCATACTTCTCCTTCTGATCTGTACTTCAGTCAGGACTCAGACAAGGTTAAGTCTTGGAAGGGAGCAGAAGTAAAATATTTAGCTGTAAGGTAGTGTAATAAGGAAGGTTAACACTAGAAGCTGTTAAGGGGTAACAATTTGAGTTCCGGAGGTACGAGTGTGAGGTTCTTTTGATCTTTTCCCTCACACTTAAGACTTTTTTGTAATCTTAAGGCTTTTAGTAGTGTCAAAGGTTATGGTACGTAATGTATTTATGATCTCAAAAAACTTGTTTTATACAAGATTAAAACTTTTTATATACTTTTTCATCTGTTTCTTGCCTCTTCTCACCATGTATGTCACTTTAATGTCTTGAGCTGTACCAATATAAAGCCGAAAAACTTTCTAGAGTAGCTGAGACTTAGAAGCATAGATGTCGCACTGTTAAAACAGTGCCAACATGCTCAATGCCCACAAAGAATGTTAGGAACTCTTCCTTTTAAAGAAATAACCTTTATAACATACAGGAAAGCAAGTCTTAATTATGTTTTCAATATGTTTAGGGCCCAAAGTACATGCCCTTTCTCTGTTCAGGTGAATATTGAAAACTCATTTTTGTTTCTAAAGCACATCAAAGTAAAAAAGCCTCATCTCTTAGAGGCTTCTCTTTGAGCAAAGTTCTTATTACTGAGTTTTATTTTTACCTGTGGTTATGCAGTATAGTGTTTTACTTTGTACGAGTCGTTAAGCTGTTGAAGTGCATTACACTTATTTCAAACAATATCGATTTATTTACTTGCATACTTGCTAGTTTGCAGTAGATCAGCCAACCTTTGATATGAATTAGCATGACTCTACTATGTTGCAGCAAATCTTGGTTGCAATATTAATCTCAGCTACTACATTCCCTCCCAGGTTGGTGCTTCAAATTCCCTCCCTACCCCCCCAAGTCTCCGTCCGTCATGCTCCGCACTGGCATTGGTAGGTCACTGTCTTAAAGGGAATATGTTGGGAAAGGTGTGATACGATTTGTATGATTCAACTACGATTTTTTTAGCTCTCTCCAATGAAATGTTTAAGGGAAGCTGCGTAGAGTAAGTTAGTGCCATCTAGTGGGACCGGGACTGGCACATCCTCCTGGGATGGAAGGTATTCTATTGCTGTTTATTGCATAAAAGGAAGAAATGTCATCTTAGATGCTCTCCGATTGGGTGAAGGCAGCAGGCAGTTGTAACTGAGCTTCCTGCCTTCCACTGGCTGGGTGTATCACTTAGTGTGTTTGGTTAGGTTTCTTTAATGTTTAAAAATACAGAGTATATTTTTGGGCCTGCGTAAAGCGAATGGGCTAGTTGAGTCGTTAATACAACTGCGGCTTTAAAGCCCGCTCTGCCTCCATGTTTGCGAGTAAGAAACAACTGCACGTGTTTCTGAGAAATGAATGAGACTGAGCTATCTAGAATGATTTTTTAGGCTGGAAACTAGAAAAAAAATGCTTCTAGCCATCACAGTCATGGGATTCTGGAAGAGCTTTCCAGTAACAGTAGTAGAGGACAGAAATCCTAAACTGTTTTGGAAACAGCTGTGTGCTGTCACCTCCTGTGGTAGCTGAAGGCACAACCCGGTGACTGAGGTCATTTGCAGTCCCAAACGCCTCAAAATTCTGTTGCAAGTCTGTGATGAATTATCTTACTTAGTAGCTGGAGAATATGTTTCTCTAGAAGCTTGGAGTTAATACATTGAGGCAAAATTTATGAGCAAGGAATGTTTCTAGGCAACTGTTATACTCCTGTGGTTCATCCAGGTCACTAGACAGCTTCAAAAAGCCAGTGATCCTTTAGATGTCTATTCTTGCCATATGGTAAAGCGCTGTTCTTCTCCAAATTCACGAAGCAAGTCCTTGAATTAACACGTGACTATCTGACACCTCCTGCTTGTTTAGCTCTGCTTATGTGTGCTAACTAGGAGAAATCTGAGCGCGTTCCCTTGGGGCATTATTCTGACTGGTCACCTCAGACACCTTCCTGGGGTCAGGAAGTGCAGAAGACAAAATGTAGTTTGTTTCTCTAACAGTGTTTAATTTTGTCTTTTCTCAACTTCTCCCTCCTCTCCCCCTGCTTGGGTGCTGCCTTTAAGATATCAGGCAGGTGAACTCTGAAGGATTTGTGTCATTTCCACAGGCTTTGCCTTCGTTAGGAATTGGAATCAGTGATTGTGATGGTCGAATCTGTATTTGCAGGTGGCTTGTCTAAGGCTTAACCAGGGTGGATCATCATCTTCTACAAGTTTGGTCTCTAAAAGATCTTCAGATTGAATTATGTGCGTCCCTTTATTGTACCTAAACTAAAATGGCTGAAGTATTTCTAGAGAGAGTAACGTTCTTTGTCACACTGCAGGAATCTTGCAGATACAGATGACTGTGCTAGAATTGAAGAAGTACTGGTCTTGGTGGTAGCTGCTGCTCTCTTTCCTCCTTCTCTGAGGTATCGTAAAGAGAGAAATGAAAATAACCTGAAGTGTGTCACTTACGCCGCAGAACATCTGCCTCAAAAAGAGAATTGCTCATAAAAAAGAACCGCGTTTACTTGGATTATTTTGGGTTTTACGCTTTCTCTGTCAA